GGGCCTCTGTGCCAAGGAGAATGGTCCATGCCTGGCATTTTCCTCTGGCTCCTCTTCGTATAGGAGAAGCCAAGCCTGGGAGGTCATGTAAAGGCTGAAATACAACAGGCTAGCACATAAGTATCTGTGTTCCCTTGGGCAAGTTCCTCAACCTCTCTGAGCCTCAGTTTCTTGCTCTATAAAATGGGACTGATAATGCCCATTCAAATAGTGATCTTTTTTTTTTTTCAGACAGAATCTCACTCAGTTGCCCCAGGGTTAGGTTGAGTGCTGTGGCATCTCTTGCCTTAGCCTCCCAAGTAGCTGGGACTACAGGCACTGGCCATAAGGCCCAGCTACTTTTTTTTAGAGATGGGATCTTGTTCTCGCTCAGGCTGGTCTCACAAACCCACAAGTTCAAGTGATCCTCCCACCTTGGCCTCCTAGAATGCTAGGATTACAGGCATGAGCCCCTACGCCCAGCCCTAAATAGTGTTCTTGACTGGGCCAGGCTCATGCCTGTAATTTCAGCACTTTAGGAGAATCTCTTAAGGCCAGGAGTTTGAAACCAAGCTGGGCAACATAGTGAGACCTCATCTGTACAAAAAAATTAAATATTATCCAGCTGTGGTGGTGTGAAACTATATAGTCCTGGCTACTCAGGAAGCTAAGATAGGAGGATTGTTTGTGCCCAGGATTCTGAGGTTACAGTGAGCTGTGACCCATGCTGGGTGACAGAGTAAGACCTTGTCTCTACAAAAGAAAAAATTGTGCGCATGCCCAATATAGGAAACTAAGAAAAGCAAAAGATCTAGTCAGGTGTATCAGACGTAGCACAAGGAGGATAAACTATAGTGTTTTGCCATCTAACTTTCCCTAATAGCCGAGCAAGAACCTTGGAGAAGTTCCAGCCTGATGCTCAGTCCCTCACATATGGTGGGAGGGTCCCGGGCTTACTGCTATCTGTTGGGGTCACTGACCTAGGGAGGAAAGAGAGGCAGCCTCTTCCCCAAGGCCAGTGATTTAGGCCTGGATCGCCTAGGGGCATCTACCTACCACATACGTGGGTCTGCCCTCCACTCTTTCCTGGAGAGGCCTAATCTAGGCAGAGAGTACCCTTACACCCAGTACCCAGGGCTGCTGAGACCCCAACTTGAACCATTTAAGGCAGCATTCTTCAACCTTTTATTTAATTTCATGGCACACTTGAACCTATAGTTAAACTTCGGTAGCACACTTAAATTATGTTGGTCAAAAAAAAGGAATATATTTATTGTGCTTTGAACATCGTTCAAAAAAAATTTAATTAATGGTATTTAAAAATTTTCACAGCACACCTAAGATCTCTCATGGCATACCAGTGGGCTGAGACACACCAGTTGAAAATGACTGCTTTATGGTGTTCGGGCACCCATTGCCCTGTCTGTCAGTGGGTCTCCCAGGCCCTGCCCTACCTGTGACCGTCTGCACCCAAGACAGGAGTCGGGACAGCAAAACAGTCCTGGCTCTGGGGTGATGGAGGGTTGCAGAACCTTTGTCTTTAGGGATATCCAGCCTTGTGGGAGAGTGAGGAAGCATCACTCTTGCAAAGAGATGAGAGGCTTCAGAGCTGCACCAGGCAACGGCAGGCAGAATTACATGGTAGTCACTTTCTCCACCAATCACATTGCTGGACTGAGCCACAGCTGGGGGTTCAGGGAAGCCCCTGGAGGAGGCGTCACTGGCCAGTCGGGCCTTGGGAGCACTTCAGTTTGTGCTTTTTTACACTGTTCTTTGGAGTCTGAGGCCTGAGTAAGGGGAAGAGGGTGTTCTGCATACTGGGCTCTGGGCCGTCTTTCAGTTCCTGGTGTTTGCACCCCAGGAAGGCATGATAGCAGACATAATCAAGGTGGCCGTTCTTTTTCTCTCCATTTATAGTGTATAAATGGGAAACCAAGAGACCAGGCCCCAGCTCTGTGTGGGGTGGGACAGAACTCTGTGTGTGCTGGCCTCGGCTCTGGCCAGTCCCCCAGGCTGTGGAAACAGTCGGAAGGCTGACTCGCCTTTCACCTCCATGGCCCAAGCTCAAACGAGGCTTCAGAGAGGAAACAGCTCCCTGCCCCACCCGCCCTGTGCACCAGCCAGGCAAGCAGGACTTCTGGCCCTGAGGCCTGGATGGGTGCCCTGGTCTATGTCCTGGTGCCTCTCTGGGCCTCAGTTTCTCTATCTATAACTTCAAAATGAGGCTGGATCAGCTGACAGGATCTCCGCTTTCAGCTCAAGGGTAATGTTCATCTTGACTTAGAGCTGGCGGAAGGGAGCAGGAGTAGCCCTTGGAGACTAGACTAGGGAGGTCGTGAGGAGGGAGAGCTCTGGCATAAAGCTGCCGTGGGCAGGGGTGAAGCTGTGGCCCTTGAGAGGCAGTGGGTGGAGTATGGAGCTGCCAGGCAGTGGGCTGGCTGCTCCAAGGCCTCTGGCTGCCCAGGGATGCCCACGGGGCTGCCCGTGGGCAGGAGAGCGTGGCCACAAGACGGGGGAGAGAGGTTTTCAGGGTGTAATTAGTGCACTTTTTGGCACCCACTGAACTTCCCCTTCCTCTTGACAGTCTGCTGCCAAAACAGTCCTGATTCCTGTGGACTTGGTTAAATCTTATCCAGAAAAGAAAAAAAAAAAAAAAGAACGAAAGAAAGAAAAAGAAAAGGGGGGAAGAAAATAAGAGGGTTGTTATTTGTGAAATTACATTTCCCAGCTATGAGCGTGAGTCACACCATTTGGAGCTTCAAGTTTCTTGTTTGGATGAACTTTTCTCTGAAAGGCTGGGGCCTATTTGGGGTAGGAGGGGTCTCCTGCTTTGAGGAGTGTCTTAGAGTGAAGATAGGGAGAGACCTTGCTGGTTGGAAGGTCTCAGTGCTCTCAACTGGGTGGGGCTGGGCCAGTTGTACCCCAACTGACCCTAGGGAAGCTTAGAAAGCACCCACTACTTGGGGGAGGGGGAGGAGAAGTTGTTGTTTGATGGGTGCAGAGTTTTAGTTTGAGAAGATGAAAAAGTTCTGGGGGTAGATGGTGGTGATGGTTGCACAACACTGTAAATGCACTTAATGCCACTGAACTGTACACTTAAAGTTGTTGAAATGACAATTTTTGGTGTGTATTTTACTATACACCCAGAAATGCAGATTTCGTGCTCACAGTCCCAGGTAGTCAGCTGTTTTGGTAGGTCTAAGGTGTGGCTTGTATTTGTTACAAGCTTCCTAGGTCATTTAAGACGGGCTTGAAGACAGTCATTTAATGTGTAAAATGGGGATAGTGACCCATAGGTTAGAGTAAAAATCAGCTGTCTTAATATGTATAAAATTTCCACTGCTGGAGACATAGTAAAGCTTATGGGATCTGTTACTATTATCATCGAATCTGATTTCTATTGGACCCCTTCTCCCCACTCCCCCACCATGTCCCATAAGGCTGACCCCACTGGCTCACTTTCCTCCAGGGATGGGAGACCCACTGCCTCTCAGGTTGGACCATTGTATCTTGGGCTTGTCTGAGGGCAGGGTCCCTCTGAGGCTGAGTGCAGCCCCTGCGCACCTGCGGGCCCTGGGTTGCATGATGCATCCCATGATAGGGCTGGGCAGTAGTGGAGCAGATTTGGGACCCCAGATTCAGTGGAACCCCAGTCACTGCCACCTACTGTTTTGGTTGCCCCAGATGTGATGTTTATTCTTTTACTTTCACATCCCAAGCTCTGGTCCACAAGTACATGAGAGGGAACAGAAGCCCAGAGAGGGAAAACACTCTGGTCACAAAGCAGTGTGTCCCAAGAGACCGAGGTGATTAAGGCTGTGTCCATTAGGAGGGGAATGGCAGACCCCCAGAGCTGGGTATACTGAGGGAGGGACCAGCTCCCGAGCTACCTCCTTCCCATCCTACACTGAGGGGACACAAAGAAGCCTGTCCCACTCTGGGCCCAAATCTGCCCCATCTCTGTAAGGGAGACTGAGGCCCTTACTTTCAGGGCCCCACTTCTCTATCAGCCTTAAGAACAAAGCTTCATCTCTTCTCAGACCCAAAGTCCCCCAAGGTCCATTGCTTACGCCTGCAATTTTGGGACAACTGAGCTAGGGCCAGGAGTGTCCAGGCCCCATGCCTAGGTTTGTCATTGACCATCCTGGGGAAGCTACCTCTTTTCAGCCTTGGCCTTGCCCCGGAAAGGGGGACCCATAGCTGTTCCTTGCCAGCTTCATTGTAGGCCCACCTTCACTAAATTCCAGTGCGCCTGGCCGCCTGGAGCCTGTGACTCCTATAAATAGAGGCTGTATACAGCAGGAGGGGGCCTGGACCACATCTGCTTTGAAGCTAAGTGAGATGTCTGGTTCCTGTCATCTGGAGGTGAGAGAGATGGACCACTGCCCTCCTCCGACTCCCAGAGAAGTGGCTTGGTCTCCTCATGCCGCAGGAGAAGGCAGAGGGCTGGACTTTAGTCTTCTCTTGTGTAAAGTGGAAATAGTGCTGCAAGCTCATGTTCCTTTTCCTTCCAAGAAGAGAAACTGAGTCAACAGAGGTTTGCCTAACGTCACTCCACCACCAGTTAGTGACAAGGCCCCAAATCTAACAGGTTGCTTTCTACTATACCTTGTTACCTAGTGACAGCGAGTGAAAAATAACAGTAATTAATAACAGCCTTTATCATTATCATCACCACCATTTACTGAGTGGTTCTTAAGTGCCAGGCACGAGATAAAATGCTTTACACTCATGACCTCATTTTAGCCTTAGAGAAACCCTAGGGTAGCAGTCCTCATTCCCATTTTAAAGACAGGGCCACAGAGGCCCAGGTCGTTAACTGGCTTGTCCGTAGACACGTGACCAGAATTAGGACTTGAACTCGGGCTCCTGGAGGCCGGGGTCTTGGGCAGCTGAATGCTCAGTATGAGTTCGTGTGTGTGTGTGTGTGTGTGTGTGTGTGTGTGTGTGTATGTATGGGGGGGGCATAGAAACTCCCGCAGGGCTGCACCCACAAGCCCCTGTGCCTCTGTCTCCCGCAGGCGCTGAGTAGCAGCGTGTACAAGAGCGCCTCACCCTACGGCTCCCTCAACAACATTGCTGATGGCCTCAGCTCCCTCACTGAGCACTTCTCTGACCTGACTCTCACCTCTGAGGCCCGCAAGCCCAGCAAGCGGCCCCCGCCCAACTACCTGTGCCACCTGTGCTTCAACAAAGGACATTACATCAAGGACTGCCCCCAGGTAAGGCCGCAGCACAGGCTTCCTTGCTGACTGCAGCCCAGCTTCTGTAGACAGGGCGGGTGGAGCAGCGTCTCCAGGGGCTTATCCACTGAGAGTGGTCCTGGCCTTCTGGTCATCATCTTTTTGTCCCCTCTGGAGTTTCTGAGCCCAGGCTGGGTGGTGTGGACAGGACAAAGGCCCAGCTTGGGCCCATGCTGGCTGGTTGGCAGTCTGGGTGAAGGATGTCTGGACCCACACTGGGCCCCCAAATGAAGTTCAAGTCTTCTATGAGGGGTGGAGCTTCATCTCCTACTCGCTGGGAAGGAATGTGGGCTTTGGGCCAGGAATCCAGATGTGCGGCCCTTCCCCCTCCTCTGCTCCTGGTGGAGGAGGTGACTTTGTACCCCCATGATAGTTCTTGCCAAGGGCTGCAGGCAAAGCGGGACTGGGCCTCTCTCTCACTGATGCTTCTCTGTGACGGGGTGGGGCTACTGGGGCATCTCACTCAAGGATGACCCTGACTCACCAGTAGACATGACTGTGGGGTCTGAGGTGAGCAGTCATTTTAAATACAGTATGAGATTATCAGTGAGTTTCTTCACTATTTTTACTATTTTCTAATTTTTTACAATGTGGCATTACTTTTACTTTATATATGTAATGGGAATGGAATCCTGGAAACTCTGAAAATCCACGTGGTATTACCCTCCAGATGTTAAAGCCAAGGCGTGGTTGGGTGGGGCCAAATCCTTCCAGGCCCAGTGGGAGGCCGAGGCATCCTTGTGGCTCATTGCCTACCCAGCCTCTGGTCAAGATTGGCTGGGCCATGGTTTAGGTCCTTGCCACTTCAAGTACGGCCCAGAACAGCTGCCGCTGTGCCTCTGTGGAGCTTGTTAGAAATGCGTGGTTGCAGGCCCACCCGCTCTGCATTTTGATAAGATCCCTAGGTGGGGTGTGGTTCCCCGCCCCGGGCCCTGAATGGTGGAGTTAACCTACTGGTGGCCTTCCTCCAGACCCCATACCCCCACTGGGCTCTGTCTACCTCTCAACATATGCCCACAGGCTGGGGAGTGGGCAGAACAGGCTTGAGCCCAGTAAGGAGGAGACAGGGCCTGTGCCAAGTGCTCTCCAAGCAATATTTCATTTGACGACACTACCCTATGTGTGAAATGCTCTCCTTGGCCTCATTTTGTGTGAAGAAACATCTGGAGGGAACTCACACAGTATCATTGAGTTGGTCAGTGCAGGGCCGGGATTCTAACCCAGGCAGGCAGGTCACAGACACTCAGACACCAGCAGGAGCTCTGAGGGTTTCAAGGAGGTACAGTCACTCTGGGCTGGCAGCCTGGGGAAGCTTCCAGGAACAAGAGGGCTTGAAAGGAGGGTGTCAAGGCCTCTCGCAGTGTGACCAGTATCTAAAGGCAGCGGATGGTGAGCCAGAGGGGGAGAGATGGTGAAAGTGTGCGTAAGCGAGTGTGTACACGTGTGCACTCACTACCCTTTCTCCAGACAGGGCCAGAGCTCTTCTGAATATTGGGACAAGCTGGGCACGGTGTCTCATGGGAGTAGTCTCAGCTCCTCAGGAGGCTGAGGCAGGAGGATCATCTGAGCCCAGAAGTCAAAACCAATCTGGGCAATTTAGTAAGGCCTTGTCTTAAAAAAAAGAAAAAAAGGGCGGTGCCTATGGCTTAAAGGAGTAGGGCGCCGGCCCCATATGCCAGAGTTGGGTTCAAATCTAGCCCTGGCCAAAAACTGCAAAAAAAAGAAAGAAAGAAAGAAAGAAAAAAATAATGTTGGGGCAGAGGGTCCCACCTGCTTTCCAGTACAGTGTCAACACTGGTTCCTCCTTTGCCTGGGTCACTGTGTCGTGAAGGGCTCTCAGCTCTATGGCAGAAATAGAAGTAGTGGGCCCCTTTTATAATGGGAGAAACAATCTGAGAGAGGTGCAGTGCAGAGGAGAGGGCAGGAGGGCAGGAGGGCAGGACAAGCACGGGAGCTTGAGACCTCAGTCAGTGTTCTTGGCATCCTCGAGTGGCCATGCCACTCCAAGTTGAGAAGTGGAGTGGTCTGTGGAGCCTCAATTTCTCCCTTGAGCTGGCTGAGGCCTTCTCCCAGCCCCATCCCAAACCTGTTTCTCTCTGGGTCTCCTGAAGGCCCAAGATCTCCCTCTTTGCCTCGCAAGCGGTGGGAGCAGTGGCTCACAGCATCAATTTTGTCATCTATCTCATGAGGCTAATGGGAGCACTGACACACTGGAGTGCTGTGAGGATGCAAAGAGACAATGAATGGAAAATGCTCGGCACAGGACCTGGCGCACAGGAAGCACTCAATAAATGTCTACTAGTGTTATTTTTTTTCTCCTTTGGATCACGCAAAGAGGTCTTCCACCTGGAAAGATACTAGGTGTTTGGGCAGGTTGGAATTTAAATTGGATGCTGTGTACCTCCCATCATCTGACCACAATCTTCCAGGGCAGGAGCTAGGCTGGATTCACTTTGGGCTGTCTGACCTTGTGCCAACTCAAGGTACCTCACATGACAAGTACTCAGCACAAGTCTTCTGAAGGAAGGAGCAGGTTGACAAGGCTTTTATGAGCCATAGAAGAAAACCCATGTTGCAAATGAAATATTATATAAAAGCTTAATGGCTCGGCGCCTGTGGCTCAAGAGGCTAAGGTGCCAGCTATATACACCTAAGGTGGCAGGTTCGAATCCAGCCCGGGCCCGCCAAACAACAATGATGGCTGCAACCAAAAAAAAATAGTCAGGTGTTGTGGCAGGCGCCTGTGGTCCCAGCTACTTGGGAGGCTGAGGCAGGAGACTCACTTAAGCCCAGGAGTTGGAGGTTGCTGTGAGTTGTGATGCCACAGCACTCTACCCAGGGCAACAGAGTGAGACTCTGTCTCAAAAAAAAAAAAAACTTAACATATGCGATATTGAAAGTAGAATGTTTTGGGGGAACAGCTTTCATGAGCTATGATTTGCTTACCGTATAATGCAACCATTTAAAGTGTACTATTCAGTGATTTCCAGTATACGCATAGTTGTGCAGCTGTCACCACCATCAAAGAATATTTTCATCACGTCAGAAAGGAACTTCGTACTCTGGGTTCCACCTCCTGCTCTTCCAGCCCCTGGCAACCATTACTCATCTGCTTACTATCTATGTAGATTTGCCTATTCTGGACATTTCCTAGAAATAGAATCATACGAGGCTGGGCTCAGTGGCTCACACCTGTAATCAATCCTAAGGTGGGTTGATTGCTTGAGTTTAGGAGTTCAATACCAGCCCAACCAAGAGTGAGACCCCCATCTCTATTAAAAATAAAAAAAAACTATTCAGCATCAGACAGGTCCTATAGTCCTAGCTACTTAGGAGGTTGAGGTAGGAGAACCTCTTGAGGTTGCTGAGAGCTACGATGATGCCTCAGCACTCTACCCAGGGTGACAGAGTAGGACTCTGTCTCAAAAAAAAAAAAAAAGAAAGAAATAGAATCATATGATTACATGGTCTTTTATGACTGGCTTCTGTCACTTAGTGTGATGTTTTCAAGGTTCATTCCTTGTAGCAGGCATCAATACCCATAATTTTGAAAGTGTCCCATTATGTTCTATTTTCTGGAATAGTGAAGATTAATATTAATTGTTCTTTAAATGTTTGGTAGAATTCACCTGTGATGACATCAGAACCTGGGCTTTCCTTTGTGGGTTAGGTTTTTGATTATTAATTAAATCTGTTTACTTGTTATAGGTCTATTCTAGTCTTCTATTTCTTTCTTTCTTTTTTTTTTTTAAGAGACAGAGTCTCACTTTGTCGCCCTTGGTAGAGTGCCGTGGCGTCACAGCTCACAGCAACCTCCAGCTCTTGGGCTTAGGTGATTCTCAGCCTCCTGGGTAGCTTGAACTATAGGCACCCACAATGCACAGCTATTTTTGTTGTTGTTGTTGTTGAGGTTTGGTTGGGGTTGGGTTCGAACCTGCCACCCTTGGTATATGATATTCTACTCACTGAGTCACAGGCACTGCCCCAGTCTTCTGTTTCTTCTTGACTCAGTGTAGCATGTGTATTTCTAGGAATTAGGCCATTTCATTGAATTTATCTAATTTATTGACACATTTGTCCACAGTATTTTATTGTAATCTTTTTTATTTCTGTCAGGTTGGTAATAATGTCCCATCTTCATTTCTGGGTCTTGTCATTTGAATCCTTTGAATCTTCTCTTTTTCTTTCATCGATCTAACTTCATAATTTAAAGTTTTGTCAGTTTTGTTAGACTTTTCAAAGAACCAACTTTTGGTTTAGTTGATTATTGCTTTTCTATTCTTTATTTCATTACATTCCACTCTAATCTTTATCTTTAAATTGCAGTAAAATCACAGAATGATACAATTTACCATCTTAACTATTTTTAAGTATACAGTACAGTGACATTAAATATATTCACACTGTTATGTGACCATTACCATCATCTATCCACAGAACTCTCTTTTTCTTGTAACACTGAAATTTTATACTTATCATACAATAGTTCCTCCCCCCGCCCCCAATGCCAATGTACTTTCTGCACTGTGAGTTTGACTACTTCAGATACCTCTTATTAGAGGAATCGCACAGTATTTGTCCTTTGTGATATAGGCTTAGTTAATTTGGCATAATGTCCTCAAGGTTCGTTTATTTCATAGTATGTGTCAGAGTTTTGTTCTGTTTTAAGGCTGAGTGTTTCTTTCAATAGTAAACTATTTTAAATTGCACCTGAGTTTTATGGACACCCTGTCTATATACCACGTTTTGTTGACCCTTTCATCCATCAATGGACAGCTGATTGCTTCCACCTTTGGCTATTGTGAATATTGCTGCTATGAACAGGGTTTACAAATATCTCTTTGACTCCTTGCTTTCAGTTCTCCACTCTAATCTCTATTATTTCCTTCCATCAGCTTGCTTTAGGCTTGGTTTGCTCTTCTTTCCCTAGTTACTGTCTTTGTATCCTTCTTCCTATTTCTTCTGCCTTTATATTCTTC